TTCTTAATTTTTTATATTATGATTGCATGATTAAATTTTAAGAGATCTATTAATTGATTCGAGTTGCGTGATCTATAGCTAAATTAAAATCATAATCCGTAATTGTTATGACTTTTAATTAAAGTAGCAATTAAACAAAATAATTATGATCCAATTTTTTGTTATTTGTTTAAAAGAGACATAGAGTGAATTAAATAAATTAATGCTTCATCAATTATTATTCACATTTAACTCCTTTCTAATTCTCATAATTCTATCAATAAATTTAAGAGGATTGCTTAATACCAATTGATTTATTGATAAGGATTCATTTGTATATTGGGAATAGATTAATGAAATTAGGAAAAGTAAAGATTATTTGGCTTCCTAATTATCTTTGGTTAAATATTTAAATTATATATTTAGATGGTCATTGATTAGTTTGCAATCACGAGAGAGTTCCCTTGAATCGATATCATCTTTGATTGAATTCTTTTTATTGTTAATTTCTATTCGTTTAAGCTTTCATTACTCATTAAACACAAACCCCCACCCCCTTTTCGATTCTCTTGTTAGTGTAATTTGATTTGTTGGTTCCCGAGGATTTTTGACCCTTGCTCATCCTATCCGCATTTTCTAGATTTAGAAGTAAGGTAAAATATTCTAGTTGCATTACGCACGCATCACCTACCAATGCCAATGAAAGGTCTATAACTAACTAAAAACTTTTCCCGTGAGTTGCCAAACATATATATATATATATATATATATATATATATATATATATATATATATATATATATATTCTAAAATACACAATGACAAACATCAACTTTCATAGTACTTCCATGATTGAATTTCTTAACAACGGCAACATATTTTCACAACATTACAAACTACTTACTTTCCCTACCTCTTATGATTTTATTTTTATTATTTTATTTATTTATTTATTTTTTTGCTATATGGATTTTCCTTTCTTTTCTCTTATAACCTTACCTCACAAAGACCTATGGATCAATATTAGGTTGGTCCCTAATATCTTTTAGATATTTTTCTACAATCCATTGAACGATAATGTTTTTCAACTCAAAATATTTTTAACATTTATGCTTATCATAAAAGCTCTTAATCCGCCAACAAGTTCGTCAAAAATGGTGAAGCACAAAACTTCCATGGACACTTCTTACAATAGATTGCACTCGATACATGTATCATTATTTTTCTTATACTTATTGTCATATTTAATTTGAATTGCATATTCTCTTAATGCTTTCCTAAGCACAAATTTATCCCTAAACTTCAACCCAAGTATAAGACTTATTTTACTTTTAAAATTAAGGCCCTAAACTTTCAATTCCGTTCCCTAATTACACTTCTTAAGTCTTTTTTTTTTCTTTTTATTCTTCTTAGTTTCATCTCCATTTACCTTCAATTAAGGCCCTCATATTTTCATCTCTTCCAATTATAACTCCAATTGGGCTTTCTTTGGTCCTCACTTCTCATATGTTTTTTTTTTTCAACTGGGCTAAAATTCTACCTCTTATTTTATTCTTTATTTTTTTTCTTTTAGTTATTTTTCTCTAAACTCACATAAAATAATGTGCACTAAAATTTTAGAAGATAATAATTTATAAAAATTTCGTAAATCAACTACCGGATGCATCTTAGATCCAAAAAAAGTAATTAAAACACATGTTCCCGTTGAGAATGCTCATATTAGAATTGATATCTTAAAAGGATAATCTATTAATGATATAGTGAATGAATCTAAAGTACGCCTAAAGCATGAAAAACCAATCGGTTCTAAAAAAAATTGAAAGAAAAAGAATAAATAATCAAGATAAAAATATCAAAGAAGTAGATATTTACAAAATGGTTTAAGATATTTCTAAATTAGGCTTTCGAAGAAGTCCAAATGCTTGAGAAAAATCAAGAGACTTCAATAAATTATATCAATATAGAGAGAAATAGGACCTACAAGAAATATTTATTAATAATATTTTTGTATATAATGTTATAATTTTTATTTTGAATGAAAATAAAGAACATGAGCTCAAATTTATTAAAAAATATCAACATAGAGATGACTAGCCTAAATGAAAATAGCAATCAAAGTAGAATTATATTCTCTTATAAACGAGTAGTTTTTGAATTCATAGTCAAAATGCTCTTGAAGATATTAAACCGATGGGATACGGATGGGTGTTTGTGTAAAAACAAAATAAGAAAGATGAGATTGTGAGATATAAAGCAAGAGTTATAACACAAGAGTTTTTGCAAGGACTTGATATTGACTATGAGGGGATATATTCTCCTATTATGGATGCAATTATATTTTTTTAGCCCATTAGCCTAATAAAATATATAAAAAACTTCATATGCATGCATTTAACGGATGTAATCATAATTTATTTATTCGGTTGAAAAATAATCTATGATCACATCCGTTAAATGTATGCATATGAAGTTTTTTATATATTTTGTTAGGCTAACAAGATAACAAAATATATATAAAAAAAAACTTCATATGCATACATTTAACGGATGTGATCATAGCTTATTTGTTCAATTGAAAAGGATATCAATACGAAAGTCCTAGAAGGACTTCAAATGCTCGAAGCATGTAATGAATATTTTCAAAAAATATATTCAATTAAATTATAGAGATCTCTATAAGGATTATTTTAGTGTTTGTTTCATTACTTTGATTTTAAAAAAATTGATTTATACTATACTTTTTATATTTCATTTTCAATATCTACTTCTTATTACTAATCTGGATGGACATGGTATAATCATCTTAATAAATATTTTTTAAAAGAAGGTTATAAAAATAACTATATTTATTTTTTTATTTTTGTAAAGAAATTCAAAAAGGGATTTATGATAATTGTTATATATGTTGATAACTTAAATACTATTAGAACTCCAAAAGATATTTAAAGTGCCATAAGCTATCTAGAAAGAAAATTTGATGTGAATACCTCGCAAAAATAAAATTTTATCCGGGCCTATAGTTCGAACACTTAGAGAATGCGATTTTTATTCAACAATCCATTTATATAGAAACAATTCTATAATAATTCTATATAAAGCTCATCTATTGACCAAGCACAATGGTAGTTCGTTCACTTAATATCCACAAAGATCATTCCGCCTTGAAAAGATAACGAAGAACTAAGTAGTCTTGAAGTATCATATCTTAGTGCCATTGGTGTATTAATATATTTTACTACTAATAGCCGACTTGATATAGCATTTTTTATAAATTTATTAGTAAGATTTAATTCTACTTCAACACGGAGATATTGGAATGAAATTAAATATACACTACGATGTCTCCGAGAAACAATTGATATGGGCTTATTTTACTTTAATAAATTAAAAACATGATTAATTGGTTATGCACATACGTGTTATTTATCTAATCCAAATAAAACTCGATCACAAACCGGTAATGTATTTACACATAGTGAGATAGCTATATCATGACGTTCTATAAAGTAAAGTGGAGTTGCTACATATTCAAATCATTTAGAAATATCAATTCATGAAGTAAGGCGAAAATATGTTTGACTAAAATCAATGACCCATTATATTTGAGAGAAATACAATTTATCTATCAACAAAAAGGTTACAACAATATCATATGAAGATAATGTTACTTGCGTAATTCAATTAAAGAAATAATACATCCAAGCGACAATCCAATGGACTTATTCACTAAAATATTACCTATCATAAATTTTGAGAAAATGATACGCAAGACTAAGATGCGTTGTTTTAAATATCTTAAATAATGCTTTCAATAGGGAGAGCCCAACATAGACATTAATTTGTACAAGAAATGTTATACTCCTTTTTCTTCGTTAGGATTTTTCCTACTGGGTTTTTTCTTATTAAGGTTTTAGCGATGTATGTTTCTAGTACAATGGACATTTAAGAGAGAGTGTTATGAAATAATAAATATCTATAATCATTTCATATTTTCACTATTCATATGATTCAATTCATCATTCAATATGAGAAATTGAAAGGATGTTGTAATTTATCAATTATTTATGCATCTTTTAATGGTTTATAATCCATTTCAATTCTCTCTTTAATCTTAAAGTCTATAAATAGACTTGATTATTTATTAGTTTGTATACAAATATTTTGTAGAGATTGAGAGAATTATTTGGAGTTGTTATCTCTTGTATTTTCTTTATTTCATAGTAAAATCATTTCTATATTATTTTTCTCTCAAATTCTATTATTATTAACATTTTTTTATAACAAATCTCAAATTTTATATTCATTGATTTTTATATATTTTTTATTATAAACCTTTAAATATTAGATAAATAATTTTGTTTATCTATTTTTTTTAGAATTTCATTTATTTTTTTGTACTCATCAACTAAATCTCTCTCTAACTCTGCCACTAATGAAGCTATGTGCTTGTACAGGTGGGAGGTTTTGATGTTGTGATTATATGCCACAAAAGGAGAAGAAATTTAGGGGTAAGTTAAAAAAACTCTAATATTATAATTGATAAGAGCACGTTTATGAGTTTCCTTATAATTTTTTTACTACATAAACTTTGAAATTATTTTTTTTCATATTATTTTAAAGATGTACCTAATAAATTTGATTGGATACTATCAAATCAAATTTAGTACAAGATGACAAAAGACTTTCGGAAGGCGTGTGATTTACCTTTTATTTTATTTTATCTTATCGACAGAGTCTGTAACGACTTGCATAAATAATGATTTGTCGATAACGTGGTTCGCCCATAAAGGTTACTGGAATCGCGCATGTTCGCGATCCGATCACGATTTTGTCCTTCATCAGAGTGGACCCGATGCAACTTGTATTAAAAAAAGAAAAATGGACAAGATGTCAGATTCATCAAGCCTTTGCTTGGTAGAACACAATGGTGGTAGTTGATATGTACGCTCTCTTCTCATTTTAGGTCAAATCGAAACCTCTCTTTGCATCTCACACATGTTTGTCTCACTTTGACCAACAATATGGATGTTGAAATTATTTCCAAAGAGTTTATCAAGCCTTCTTCATCACTAGCCATTTCAAATCAATTCGAACCCTTCAGATTATCCCTTTTGGATCAGATTTTTCCTACATATTATTTTCCAATCATCCTCTTCTACCCAGCAACAAATGCCCTTTTCAAAGGTGCCCAAATCTCAACTCAACTAAAGACTTCACTCTCACAAACTCTATCTACCTTCTATCCTTTCTCTGGGAGGCTGAAAGCCAACCTTGTTATAGACAGCTATGAAGAGGGTGTTCCGTACATAGAATCTCGAGTGAAGGGTTGTTTGTCTGAATTTCTTAGACATCCTCAGCTGGAGTTACTGAATCAACTCCTTCCATGCCAGCCATTTTCCTATGTTTCAGACCCAGAAGCTGCAGCATTGGTGGCAGTACAAGTTAACAAATTTGATTGCGGTGGAATAGCTCTCGGTTTGTGCCTATCACACAAAGTTATCGATGGCGTTAGTGGGAGTACTTTCCTTAACAGTTGGGCAGCCAACGCGCAGGGTTCTTGCATTGAGCGAATAAATCCTGATCTTTCCGAGGCATCGCTGCGCTTTCCTCCACAGGATCCCTCCTTGCTGCAAAATTATATATCATTGACCGAAAAACGTGTGTTCAAAGAAGGGAAGTACATTAGCAAGAGATTTGTCTTTGATGCCAAGGCTATTGCCACTCTAAGGGCTATAGCAAAAAGTGATAGTGTGGAAAATCCATCTCGCATTGAGACATTGTCTGCTTTCATTTGGAAGTTTTGTATGGAAGCTGAAAGGGTAATATATGCTTCTTCAGGGCCGTTTTTATCATCACTTGCGGTGAACATACGACCAAGAACTGAACCTTGCTTGCCACAATATTCGATTGGAAATCTTTGGCAACGTGGAATTACGGTCTGTCATGACTTGACAGATACAGAGATGGGACTGAATGAATTGGTGACCTCAATTAGAGAAACTGTTACCAAAATGAACGCCGATTATCTACATACTCTACAAGGTGAAAATGGATTTCGAGTTATTTCTAAATCGCTAAACAAGATGAGCTCCAACAACTACAGCCCGAAAGTATTCGTTTTCTCGAGTTGGCTTCGGTTTGGCTTCAATAACATAGATTTTGGATGGGGAAAGCCTGTATGGGTGGGTGTCACTGGACAATCTGGTCAAGCCTCTTTTAACCAAACCATCTTCTCAGAAACTGGAGTAGAAAATGAAATTGAGGTATGGATGATCTTAGAGGAGAATATAATGTCCATAATAGAGCATGATCCTGAATTCCTCAAATTTGCTTTGCCTAATCCTAGTGTTTTAATCCCGTGACATGCCAATCCAATCATGATTTAGCAGTGGAAATGATCCTGATGGGTGTTGCTTTGGTTGTCAAAGAGAGAAGATACGAGCAGAAGATAAACCCGTTCAACTGATCTGTGGCACGAAGTCAAATATCTATAAACCTTTCATGTCTATTACGTGGGTGAATGCCCGGGGATAAGAAGGTTTTAGAAAATTGCAACAAAAAATAAACTATATGCTGTAAATAGTTTTCTATCTTGGTGCGATTAAATATTTCTTTATTTCCTTCATTGTCACTGCATGTCACGTTGCAGATGGAGACTCTCTTTTGAATTTACAATTTGGTGCTGATTAAAATTCCACCAAGGTTGCATAAATAAATGCACTGGCTTCAAAACCCAGGAAAAAAAAAATTATCTTTTTTTCACAAGGAACGCCGATCTGGGTAGGTGTTTTATTTATTTATTTTGAAAGGATCCGGATAGGTATCGTTTGTTAAAAAAAAAAAATAGATATGGGTCGACATCTAAGGAGAAGTGGTCCAGCTATAACGAGAGTGCCACCACACCAACTATTTTCAGATAGGTTGGATGGAGCACTCATGAAACTGATGAGGTAACCATACCTGATATTCATGAGTAATACTAGTTTTATATAATTAACTTCTAAAATTTATTTATTGAAAAAAAAAAAGTGAATCGAGTGTCTTTTAATAAGTAAATATCATTAGTAAACTTTTGTAAATCTAATGTTTAATATTTTTCATGAATAAATTATGTAAAAATAGCATCAATATATCTAGTGTTTTTATAATGTCTATATAAGAGCATGGTGATCTGTATTCCAAAATTTTTCGTCCCCAAAACCGAAGAATTTAATGACATGGCAGTACTGCTATGCTACTGATACTAAACATTCGAGTCAGTTTTGCGGATTTTTTTTTAATGTTTTAATTAAGAGGATTTTGTATAAAAAAAATAATAAAATAAATAGATAATGGTGTGCAAGACAATCAAATTTAAAGAATTGAATATAAAAGGAATTAATTAATAATTTTACGAGTATTGTTACTTCTTCTAAGATTTTTTTTTCTCAAATGAAATAATAAAATTAAGCAATTTAAATTCAGTTTGCAATCTTCAATTAAGATTGCAATCTGTCTAAATAGTTTGGATTGCAGGTTTGTAAGATAATCATTCACAATAATAATAATTTAAATAAAAAATTTCAAATGTCTTAAAAAAATCGTCCATGGATATAGTTGCATTAAAGGAATGTAAAATTGAAGTAATTAGAGATGCAATCGAATCAATTAGAAAATTCAGAACTCAAATTACACTATATGGGGATCCAATTGATAAAATTATACTTTATAAGGATTGAAATTCCATAGAAAAAGACACGATTGTAGACAATTAAAATTTGTAAGGACCAAATTGGAACTTTGGATCGAATGGTAGGTCTAAATGAAGCGGACGACCTATCATCCCTTATGATCCGAAATCTCTCCGAGGATCTTTCATCAATCTTTCCAAATCTTCCCTTGATTATGTTTTTTGAATTGCATTTACTTGTGATTCTTAACTGGAATTGATACTAGTCAAGAATCATGCCTCATCGATTCGGTTTTCTTGTGTTAGCTAATCAAATATCACATTTGAGATTTGGCGACTAAAATTCAAGATTGACTACATTGATTTTTAAGATAGATTTGAGTAAGTTCTTGCTAATGAAAAGCTTGTGTTGGCTACAAAGAGGGACATCAAGAAAAAAGAGATAAAGAATTCTAGATTGAGAGAGTAAAAATCGAGAAAAGAGTATAATTCAAAGGATTTTTTGAAATTTTTGGTGGTCGCCTTTTCTAGGAAATTTCCGGACATGAGTTTTTGTTCTTTACTTTTTGGGCTTTTGTTCTTCATCGATGGGGTAGTTCATTCATTTTCTTTGCTTTCTAAAGTTTCGTGTTGAATTTCCTATTTTTCTTCAACCTAGTTTATATATTCTTCATGGTTCATAATTTTTCTTAGTTATTTTTCTTTTACTTTCTAGGTTTGCGTTTTTTTTGGTTTGTTTTTACTCTACATTGCTAGGTGTTGCCCATTGTTTTGGATCTCAAGAACATAGAAGAAGGATGCTTAATCATTAACCAACCTCTAATTTCGTTACCATCCTTATCAATTCTAATCCAATCTATTGTTGGATTGTATTTGGATTCCTACAACATTTGCCACACAACAGTCTCAATACAATTACCAACATTTAAGCCTTCTACCATCATCACCAAGTAGTTCATTATCTTTTCCATACATTGATCGAACTAGTCATCTCCGAGTTCTTAACTTGTAAGATTTTCACAATAACCAACCAAATAAATTGAAGTAGTAGTTGAGTGAAGTGGAAAAACGTAGGAGTTTATGATTTTTTTACCGAAAATTCATAATCAACAATAGTTAGTATTTCAATTGACAAGTGAACAAGATAGACGAGAGGAAGGATAGGAGAGAGAAGTAATAAGAACAAGAAAGAGAGAGAGAGAGAGAGAGAGAGGGAGGTAGAATTTGATAAAAGATTGTTTGATAGAAAAATGAAATAAAAGAAGATATGGTTTGTTTATGGACTTGAAGTCTAGCCCATGTTTTTTGTTAAAAAAAAAAAAACAAATAAAGGAAAAGAGAGGGACGTGGTTTGGGTTAAGCCCCAACCCACATGTAGTTTTTGTTTTAGGTAGAACTTAGTTTCAATCCACCTTCAACTATCGAAAAAAAATAAAAAAAGAAAAATACGAATCGAGTATAAGAAAACTAGAATTAGCTAGTTAGATGAAAAAAAAAGAAAAAAAGAAAGAAAGTCAAAAGAAAATAGGTAGAAAAGAATAAGGCGAGAGGCCATTAGGCCTAGCCCAATGGTTATAAGGCCCAATAAGATTTTTTTAATGTTTTGATTTGATTTTTTACTTAATTCCGAATATTTTGGTTTCGATTTGTATTTTTATTTTTCGGATTAATTTAGATTTAATTTTTTAGATGTTTTGGAATTTATTTAATTAAATTTAAAATTTTGGATTTTATTTTAATAATTAGGTTAGATAATTTCTTGATAAAAGAATTGTCGAGTCTCATAATTTTTAGAGAATAATGATAATTTTTATATCAATAAATAACAAATAAATAAATAAAATACTAAAAAAAGCTGTAAAAATTCTTAACAAAGTCTCTTATTTGATAGGGACTCGTAATTAACAAAAATAAAAAAATATATAATAATAAATTTCTTAACAAAGTCTCCTATGTGATAGGAGCTGATGCTAGTTAAAAAAACATACCATCAACATTGAATAATTAGGGTGATCTCTGACATAGTAGTTGTGTCATGGCTTTTAGTGGATTTGATGTTTGAACCGACATATCTCTCAATGAAGGGATTCGACGATAGTTTTAATACGATGCCAAACCAAAATAAAAAAACTTAATTTGGCTTGAAAAACTTAAAATTAAAATTAAAAATAAATTGGCACAAATAAAATACTTTAGGAGATAAATTTAGGACTAAACTAGATGTGGTACCTTTATTAAGAAATGACATTTTTGGGTGATCGATATTTTCCTAAAATGTAACAAACTTCTTACTTTAAAATCTCTACACTAGTGCTATTTTTAGATTCCTAGTTCTTTTAATAATAGGTTGTGACTCCAAACTTAATAATAACTCTCATCCCTAAAATAATTCACAAATGCGGCGTAAATCTTTGAAAACCTAGAATTTTTTTGAGAGTCTCGTCCGAGTGTCACGTAGCAACAAAATGACAACTCTATTGGGCACTTAGAGCTAGGCCATAATTTAGTCCCTATAAATTCATTTTCTTTATTTATTTTTTCCATTTATTTTTTATCCCTTTTGCTTTCAAAGTCATTTATTTATTTTATTATTTTATGTATTTTTTCTAATCTATTTTTTTTTCAATTTCTATACATATTTAATTTAGTTTACACTGGATTAGATACTTATTTTGAATTATTACACACACTCGCGAAGGAAACCTATCATGGCTCTAGACTCGAGCTAAAACCCTAATATGATTTAGATAGAGGGATTTGGAGGCAAGTATGATAAAAGTCTACCGGTGCTCTTTTGAACTCTCGATTAGACTGGAACTCACTCTATGTATAAGAAAATGGTGAAATAACCTTCTCCCATCTCCTCGTGCATAAGGTTAAACGCTGAATTATGCTATCGGTAATTTAGATAGCTCAAAAACTTGAAAAGATTTTAAGACTACACGAGCTTTGCCTAAACTATAGAAAAGCTAGATTATGCCCACTCGGTTGACCTCTTAAGATACAAGTTATTTTCAAATGATGTCTATTCTAACCCTTGGCTTTTACATGCTATCAAACAAAGAAATGTATCTAATTCGGTTCATATCATCCATGCACATCTTATATTCATTATGTATATTTTTTGCAATCCATTTTTTCGGGAGGCGAAATATAGGCTACCCCACTAAAACTCAAGTCCCTCTCGCACATCCACAACACCGGACTCATGACTCATCTAATGAAAAATGAGGAAAGAGCACAATTAAAATAAGCTCACTAGTAAGAGTTTGACTCTATAAAGGAGGATATGGCTCGATTAACAAGCTTGTTAAAAAAAGCACCGAGTGGGGAAGTAGTTCAAATCGAGGGCAAGCATAATATGACTTATCGTATGCTTTTCCTAATCTACAACCTCGGTCATCCGAGTATGCCGACAGACCAATCGAGGGCAATAGCTTTTCATTCCGAAGCCTCATATCCAATGAGTCCGAAAGTTATGGGGGAGATGCATGTTCGTAATTTGCAATTTTGGTTTTTTTTAATTATTATTAGTTTTTGAACATTATTTCCTTAAATGATTTTCTTATGCATGAATTAAGTCATATCTTTGAATATAAGAAGGCTTCTACTCGTTGGTATAATTTTTTATTGTTTGACTCGAAATTAAGAGATGTTCATTTGAAAATATTACTTGACATTATAGAAAAACAT